AGTGGACTTGCCTGTCAAGATTGGTCCTCACACTTTCTATCTGTCATTCTATGTTCTGGACATTCATCCATCCTATACTTTCCTTTTGGGTCACCCATGGATCCATGTAGCAGGAGCTGTGACATCTATTCTTCATCAACTCCTGAAGTTCATTGTAAATTACAAAGTTATCGTCGTTTGTGGAGAAGAAGATGTAGTGATTAACAATCTGACAACCTACCGTTATGTGGAAGTAGAAGGTGAGGTGTGGGAGTTACCCTTTCAAGCTTTGAAAATTGTTTCTGTTGACAAGTTCCCTGTCGTGGAAAGTAAGAAGTCTGAAGAACCTATGGAATCTTTGAATGATGCCAAAGCCCTCATAGAAGCTAGATCTCACCATGATGGTTGGGGAAAATTGATTGAAGTACCTGAGAAAAAAGATCGTTGTGGTCTTGGGTATCAGCCATTGTCCTCCGTGCAAGCTAGTTTGGTCCCTCTCAAAGGAAAGAAGGTTCCCCCAATTTATGAAGTGTTCATCAGTGCTGGTACAAGCAAAGAAGGACAAGTTGTCTCAACAGATGATAAAGGTGATGATGAAAATGTTTCTAGATTTATCTATCAGATTGCACCAGACCAAGAGCTCCACAATTGGTTGCCGTGGACATCCATGAAGTTGTTTTCCTTGATGTGTAATTTTTTGTTTCCATTAAGTCATATGCCCTCCCCATGGCATAGGGACAACTTGTAGAAGGGGCCCCTAATGTTTCAGTCTCTGTTTAAAATTGAATGAAAAATCGCACTTTCACATACAATTTTGTTCCCTGTCTTTTCTTTTACTTTAATTTTCAAAATAAAAATGACAATGCTTTTCTTTTCATATTCTAAATATTTTCTTGCACTTTCTATAATAAAAACATAAAATCATCAATCATGTAGATCCGTCTCGAACTCCATCAAAAATGATAGTGCTATGGTTCCTAATATCCTTGAGAATTTAGTTGACCATGCTAACGAGGATAGTGGGCAAGATTGTGAAGTCCCTGAAGAACTAGCAAGACTCTTGAGACGGGAAGAGAAGGACATCCAGTAATATCAGGAAGAAACAAAATTTATAAATCTCGGTACTGAAGAGGTAAAGAGAGAAGTCAAGATAGGTGCTGCTTTACAAAGTGAAGAAAATAAGGGGTTGATTGAGTTGATTTGAGAGTATGCTGACATCTTTGCTTGGTCGTATGAAGACATGCCCGGTTTAGACACTGACATAGTGATGCATAGATTGCCACTCAAGCCAGAATGTCCTCCTGTAAAGCAGAAGCTGTGAAGGACCAGACTCGACATGGATTTAAAGATCAAATAAGAAGTTCAGAAACAACTTGATGCATGCTTCCTATATGTGATAAATTATCTGCCTTGGACTTCTAACATTGTGCCTATACCTAAGAAAGATGGTAAGGTACGTATGTGTGTTGACTACCGAGACTTGAATAGAGCAAGCCCAAAGGATGATTTCCTGTTGCCTCATATCGATGTATTGGTTGATAATATTGCTCAGTCTTCAATGTTCTCCTTCATGGATGGGTTCTCGGGTTACAATCAGATAAAGCTGGCTCCCGAAGACATGGATAAAACAACTTTCACGACTCCTTGGGGTACCTTTTGCTATAGGGTCATGCCTTTTGGTCTAAAAAATGCTGGTGCAACATATCAGCGTGCCATGGTGACTCTCTTTCACGACACGATTCATAAAGAGATAGAGGTGTATATGGACGATATGATTGCAAAATTGCAATCTGAGGAAGAACATCTGGTCCATTTGCAGAAGTTGTTTAATCGTCTACGAAAGTTGAGGTTAAGGCTTAATCCCAACAAGTGCACCTTCGAGGTTTGATCGGGCAAGTTGCTTGGTTTTATCGTAAGTCAGCGAGGGATTGAAGTAGATCCAGACAAGGTAAGAGCAATACAGGATATGTCGGCTCCGAAAAATTAAAAAAAAGTATGTAGGTTCCTTGAAAGGTTGAATTACATATCCAGGTTGATTTCTCATCTTACCGCTACCTGTGAACCTATCTTTAAATTGTTGCGCAAGAATCAAGATGTCCATTAGGATAAAAGTTGTCAAGAGGCCTTCAAAAAGATTAAACAGTACCTTCAGGAACCACCAATACTCATACCTCCCATTCCAGAGAGACCTCTCATTATGTACTTGACTGTGCTTGAAGGATTTATAGATTGTGTGCTCGGACAACATGATGATACTAGATGGAAAGAACACGTCATCTATTACCTGAGCAAGAAGTTTACTGATTGTGAATCAAGGTATTCATTACTTGAGACAGTACATGTTGATGTATTCTACACTTCTGATATCTAAGATGGATCCGATAAAGTACATCTTCAAGAAACCAACACTTACAGGGGGTTTGGTTCGACGGTAAATGCTTTTGTCTGAGTATGACATCCAGTACGTTACACAAAAGGCTATCAAAGGTAGCATTTTTGCTGATCATCTCGCCCACCAGCCATTGGAAGAGTATCAGTCAATGAAGTTCTATTTTCCAGAAGAGGATGTTATAAAACTTGATGATAAAGAAGGACTCGAACCAGGGGAGCGATGGACTCTCACGTTCGATGGTGCATCAAATGCCATGGGCCATGGTATTGGGGAAATTCTGACTTCTCCACCCAATACTCACATGCCTTTCATAGCCAGGCTATGTTTTGATTGTACGAATAATGTCACAGAATACGAAGCTTGTGTAATGGGTCTTGAAACATCCATTGATTGGAAGATCAAGATTCTTGAAGTTTATGGGGACTCTGTCTTAGTAATATATCAAGTACAAGGTGATTGGGATACACGACCCCCTAATTTAGTCCCATACCTGGATTACATATTAGAGTTGTTGCCCGCTTTTGATGAGATCACCTTTGAGCATATTCTTAGAGAAGTAAATCAGCTAGCAGATGCTCTGGCCACTTTAGCAGCAATGTTGAAAGTCAGTTATCCGAATCATGCACCCAATATAAGAATTCTTCGTTACAAGGAGCCAACACACGTTTTCCCTGCTCATTGTCTCACAACTGGAGATGTGTCAGGCGAAAAGCCATGGTATTTCGACATCCAAAGATATCTTGAGAAACAAGAATACCCCGAGGGTGCTACAATTTGTGATAAGTGGACTCTTAGAAGGTTGGCATCCAAGTTTTTACTGTCATGAGATGTTCTGTACAAAAGAAACTATGAGTCGGTTCTGTTCAGATGCGTAGATAGACACGAAGCAGAATCCATCATACGAGAAATTCACGAGGGCTCTTTTGGGACTCATGCCAGTGGATATTCCATGGCCAAGAAAATCCTACGAGCAGGTTATTTCTGGATGACGATGGAAAGTTAATGTTGTGTATATGCGAAGATGTGCCACAAATGTCAAGTTTACGCATATAGGATACATATTCCTCCCACTCCTTTGAATGTGATGACTTCACCATGGCACTTTGCAATGTGGGGAATTGATATGATTTGACGGATCGAGCCGAGCCCTTCAAATAGACACAGGTTCATTCTCATTGCTATTGACTACTTCACCAAATGGGTGGAAGCGGCTTCGTACAAGAATGTAACCAAGCAAGTCGTCACCCTCTTCATCAAGAAAATAATCATATGTCGTTATGGAACTCCTAACAAGATCATCACTGATAACGGGTCGAATCTTAACAACAAAATGATGAAGGAAATGTGTGAATAATTCAAGATTGAGCACCATAATTTATCACCCTATCAGCCAAAGATGAATGGGGCAGTCGAAGTAGCTAACAAGAACATAAAGAAGATTGTCGAGAAAATAGTGAGAACATACAAATATTTGTATGAGATGTTGCCTTTTGCTCTACACGGCTATCGAACTTCGGTGCGTACTTCCACTAGGACAACTCCTTTTTCACTAGTCTATGGTATGGATGTGGTACTCCCAGTCGAAGTGGAAATTCCTTCATTAAGGGTTCTGATGGATAGTAAGCTTGATGAAGCTGAATGGATTCAAACAAGGCTCGACCAACTCAATCTCATCGAAGAGAAGCGCCTAGCGTCCATTTGTCATGGTCAGTTATATCAACAACGTCTCAAGAGAGCATTTTACAAGAAGATTCGACCTCGAGAGTTCCACACAGGTGACCTGGTCTTAAGGAAGATTCTCCAAATTCACTCTGATCCAAGAGGCAAGTGGACTCCCAACTATGAGGGTCTGTACATCGTGAAGAAAGCATTCTCAAGAGGTGTTATAATCCTGACAGACATGGATGAGGAAGACGTTCCACTTCAAGTCAATCAGGCTCAGTCAAAAAATACTACGCATAAAAGGACTCGCTAAGTCGAAAACTCAAAAGGGCGACTTAGGCAAAAGTTAGGGCTAAAAAAAGAAAAAAGAAATAACCCGTTAAGTCGAAAATCCGAAAGGGCGATTTAGGAAAAAATGGGTATCCCGGTGGATTGAAAACCTGAAAGGGTGGTCCAGGGAAAAATTAGGGACAAAAAGCGAGAGACTACAGTCTGAAAACTCTTCACGAATAACAAATACACCCTCCTAACACTGAATGGATCAATTCAACAATTATCCTTCGGAAGCACAACACTAGGATGATCCAGGATGTGAGAACTATAGCAATATTAGTTTTAATGGAAGTTTGAGATTTTCTTATTGCCATTTTACTTGTTGTATTTTGTCTTTTCTTCGCAACTTCCTCATTTAGGAGTTGTTTCCATATACGAACGCCTATTCACATGCCAAACTCATTAATAAAATTTGCCCTTTCACCAAAAAGTCTTTGTTATGTCCTTTTTACTTTATTTTTGTATGCGAATTGTGACTTAAATTCTTTATTAAGTATTGCATTGAAAACAATAAGGTAATAATAATCAAAAGTTAAGATGTGAAATACGACATTATATGGATATAAAGGTATCCCAAGGGAATGTCATGGCATTCCAATGTTGTTTTTTCTATGCAGGTAGCAAGTCGTAATGGTCACCTCGACCAAACTTTCGTCTTCGACACCTCCTTATAGACGGCTGAGCACCCGAAATAATGAAAGTTTAATTAATTAAAAGTAGAATTAGAAAAAATATATTAAAATTGAAATAAATTATTTATTTTAAGACACTATTTTATTCTAAATGGATCTGTTATTGTGAAACGTAGAGAGTATAGTTTTTCTAAAATCAAAATATTACTCAAAACCTTAAAGACCTACTAAACGCCTTCCAAGACAATGGATTCTGAAACTCCACATCTTCTTTTCTTGCTCCATTTTTCCTCCAAAGAAAAGGTTTCAACAATTTCTTAACCACCTTTCGAAACCCGGAACCGCGACACCTTCGTCCTTGCTTCACCTGATTCACAAGAGGTATTGTTGTTGGAGCAACACTAACGAGTCTCGGTTGTTGAGACACTGACCTTACAAATCTTGGTTCTGATAAACTTCTTTGTAACATTGCTTTGTTGAGATGTGTCTCAAAAGATAGCCTCTCAAATTGGTCTAACAGCGTGCTTTGTTCATCTCCAAATCTTTTTCGAATCATTGCTGCTTCATCCATGTTGGTTGTTGGTGATGATGTTATGTCATTTTCATTACGTGATATGTTTTTATACCTAAAAAACATAATGCGTGGCCTTGGAAGATTAAAGGGTTCATTTTTCTTTTATATTGGATTATGCAAAAGAATACTAGGACTCCTTGTTTAAGCAAGGTATCGGACACAACATTTGTCACAAGAATATGGCAAGTGAAAAAGCTGCCAAATAGTTAACACCATTGATATCTTATATTAGGGTTATTTGATAATTACTAATTTCTTAACTAATAATTTTGAAATGAATTTAGGAGTGACTAGTGAAATATTGAACCATTTTTATATATTTAAAATTTTAAAATATATTATATTAAAACTTCACGATTAAAAATAGATAATGAAGACTTCAAAAAAAATGAATGATATGAGAACGACGCATAAAATAAAACAAATTATGTTTTGTACAATACACTTCTTTCTATTTTTTCTATAATTTTTTTATTTTTATAACAGAGATGTGATTACAAGAATATCTGTTTTTATGGTGATAAATATTGTGATAATATTTATAAGAGAGATCTGATTGCAAGAATATCTGCTTTTATGGTGATGAGTGTTTAGATATCAATAAGATTCAATTTCAATCAACAACTTAATATATGAAGTAAAGAACTCTAGCAATTAAAATAAATGGTATTTCGTAATAATAATCAATAATCAGAAAATATATTAGAATAAGGTGAGAAAAGACGAAAATTTTATTTATTCAATTCGATCAAAAGATTAATTTGAGGGAGAGAACAACTCTTAAATTCACTATACTGAGAAAATTGTTACAAGATATTACAAATGAGCTACAAGAAAATTGTATTGCCTTCAAAATTCCTAAAAACTAATTTTGAAGGCTCCCAAAAACAAATCTCTATTTTCTATCCAACTGTTTCTCAATCTCTCTAACTCTTAATATATGAATCACTCAAATTCAATGTTTTAGAAGTATTTTTCAATTCTCTTAGATAATTTCAAAAGTTTTCCAAAAACCTTTGTCTTTATAAGATTTCATTTAGAATTCTCTAACCCTTATTTTCTCCTTTTACTCTAAAGCTCTAAAATTTTCACAATATAATAACAGAATATATATATATATATATATATATATATATATATATATATATATATATATATATATATATATATATATATATATATATATATATATATATATATATATATATATATATATATATATATATATATATATATATATATATATATATATATATATATATATATATATATATATATATATATATATATATATATATATATATATATATATATATATATATATATATATAATTGCTAAAATTTAATAGATCCATGACAATTCCGAAACATATATCATTCATTATTAGAATAAAAAATATTATTATAATTTTATAATATTTTTAGAATATTATAAATATCTTAAAATATTTTTTTATATCAATTTATATGATCTATTAATATAAAATATTTTAATTTTAATAAATGGATCGATGAATCGAACCGATCAAATTTGATACTCATGAACTGCTCGGATCAAAATACTTTTCGATTTTTAAATTTTTGAAAATTTTGAAATATATTTTATTTTTCTTCATTCACAAAAGTTTTAACGCACATTTCAAAAAAAAAAAAAATCTATTACTATTAATTTGAAATGTAAACATGTAGAAACAACTTGTTGTCTTGTTTATCCACAAAGAGTGAAAAAGTTATATATATATATATATATATATATATATATATATATATATATATATATATATATATATATATATATATATATATATATATATATATATATATATATATATATATATATATATATATATATATATATATATATATATATATATATATATATATATATATATATATATATATATATATATATATATATATATTACATAGAGATCAAGCAATTGAGAAAAAGGAAAAAAAGAATGTGAGAGAAGAGGAAATAATTATCAAAGAATAAAGAGATAGAGTTAGAAAAATTACATCATGATTTATACAATTTTGACTTAACTGTAACATCATATTTTCTCAAATGCATAATTATACAATAAATCAGATATTTTGCACAACAACATATCGTATTTTCTCGCCTAAATTATCCTCGATATCATATACAACAACATCATCATCATATATAGTCATATTCAACACAATCTTAATCACAGTATATCAATTACATTCAGACACCGAACATTTATATCTAAAAAATTTACATATGACTTGTTCGGAACTGACCCAATAACTAGAATTGGCCCAATCCGCTTCTATCCTTGACATGACCCAACAACATTGGCCCAACATCTCTGGTCGACCGCGCCTTCGAGCAACATGACAACCGATGCCCGAAACACGCACCTGCCCATGCGGGCGGTTACCTCTCAGTCTGCTTGACGCACAGACACCCAGGAAACATTCATAAACGCTTTTGTCCGTCACCTCATCCTTGCTCGATGCAACGGCTAGTTACGGGCACGACTGTCTATTTTGACAAAGTCATGGCAGTTACCTATTTTGTAGACCCGCATATCTAGGCCCAAAAATATGGACCAATGGCCAAGCGCCGAGGGCATTATATAAACCCTCACACATGTGAGGGACAAATATCCAATATTCAAACCTAAAACCCAAGTATCTTTCTTGTATCTCTTTGAACCCATTCTTACTTGATCGTCAGAGTGTCTTGAAGGAACTCTCATTTCTCCTTAACTTTTAAGCAAACCAGACGTTATCCTTCGACCCACTTGCAGGTTCTGATCAACCGGTAAGAACAGTATTGCCGTTTGTGGGAAACTATCTCCCTCTTCTTCCTTTTCCTCAAAACCGAAGACCAAAGATACCTTCATTACTTCAATCATGGCTGACCATGATAACTATCACCTCTCTAGAAATACTGTACTCTCTCCCGCCCACAAGTCCGACGAAATCCAGGAGCATCGTCACCTCAAGGATGACCTCGACATCAGAGATGGACAGATTGCGTACATAAATTTAGTCTATGCCGAGTGCGAAAATCTCCAGTTCTAGGATGAAAAAGGATCCAATAACCCCACCTGTAACACCCCAATTCTACCCGGTAAATTATGAATGTAAATCAGAGTTTTAAAATTTATAAAACTGAATCAGGATGCCACAAATACAACTTAAAGACACATTGCATTCAACATGGATACATAACACTTTAAAACTTTGGATGAACCAACAATAGAATAATTTAATCTCTTAATTTAACAAATTGAACAATTATGCAGCGGAATCATAATAACATCTTTGTCCAACAATTACAGCAACTTCAAAATAACACATACTTAGAAACAATCAAAATAAAGTTCAACAACTGAAATAATCAATAATTAAAATCAACAAGCATTCATCCCCCCGAGTGTTATGTATCATAGCAATGACACCGACTCGAACTACCGAAGGTATACCGCCTTCACTCTGGATTACTTGCACATTACCAACGTAAGGGTAACATTCAAGCAGAAGAGGTGAGATATCTAACAATATAATAAAACGTATGATAAATAATATGTTAGATCATCTCATATAATAACACCACTTCACATCTCATAAACAACAATAATCGCAACATAATACCAATAATATACACATTTACCGCATCAATACACAACTTCTTTATGCAATCATATCATGCGACTCAATACTATGCAAATGCATGTGGTACCATTGGAGAAGAACTCATATCTCAAATAATTGCCAATAAATAGAGGCATCAACAAGGCATAAGCCTTCATCTTAATATTCGCCAATACAGGCCATCTTAACGAGCATCAACTCCATCTTGATATGCAATGTATGTGACACAATCATGAATGTAGTAACAACAACCATAATTAACAACATCTCAACACAACATCATCGTTGGCCAGAAGCCTACATCTTAATGGATTCCAGTTATTAGAGGCATCTCAACATCATTCATCAACATAATTCATCAGCATAATTCCACAGCAACTCAGCCATAACAACAACACAATGACAGGTCGACAATCCCTCAATGTTGGCCATATGCCTATAACATGATAATGCCTATAATTAATTAATCATCTAAGGCTTATCTATAATTACCAAACCTCTACATATTATTATTCTGTAATACTATATCATTATCATCATTAATCTTACTGTTATGAACCAAGCAATAATCTATAATCATCTTATCCTCATCATACTTCACAAAATTATCATAGCGATTAACGCGGGAAGCTAACTCTAATCCTAATTTGGGTACTAGGATTATTATTCTTATCTTTCATTTTAATCCTTAAGAATGAAGTTTATCACGTTAGCTATCCAACGCTTCAAACGACACCTCAAACGGAGTCCGGAAACTCAAGTTACAGTCTTAGGAAGAATCTGTCAAAAATCAGACTGCGTGGGTCGACGCATAATGTTTTGAGTCGACCGTACTGGGTTAAAATCCTGCATGAGTCGACGCGTAATCCCCATGTGTCGACTCATAATGAGTCTGAAACAATGCATGTATCGACGCATGATCCTATGTATCGACTCATCCTGAGTCTTAAAACATGCATGTGTCGACGCATGGCTTTTGAGGTCGACTCATACTGTTCTGTGATGAATATATTATGCGATTTCACTGTGTTTTCACTGTAATTTACATGCCTTAGGCCCTAAAAAATCCTCTAATCATAGGTAATCATAAATTATAATAATCCTATGTTTCTACATCAATTATACAACATTAGGGCATCATTATTCATCTCTAAATCATCGATCCTCATCAAACAACAATATATATATATATATATATATATATATATATATATATATATATATATATATATATATATATATATATATATATATATATATATATATATATATATATATATATATATATATATATATATATATATATATATATTTCAATCATAAACAAACAACATTTCACATCTAATCCCACATACTACTCATCA